TGGTCACGTTGACATTTTTATCCGGGTCTTCCAGTAGTTCCCTCCACATTTAGAATCAACGCGCGTTTAGAGTATTTGGCAGCTATACATTTCCACGCGATAAGCCACTTCGTTGGGCTATCATTTGTCGCTTCTGAAAAAAAGCTACATAGCTCAGTGGGCCTTACCTGCTAAAATAAAAAAGCTTAGTTTTGTTTTAGTTTCGTTTAGCCATTGCTGAATAGTGTGACACACCATTGTTTGCGTGCAAACTATGATGTACTTACATCACTGTTTAGATTCAGACAAATAGTCTTCCCATTCCACGTCAAGTGTGTCACGTGATCTGATATCTCAAAATGAAAAACTTTCGGTTATCGAGAAATTAGAAAATATAACCTTTAATTATCTATAGCAAGAAAATTTAAGCAAATGACGTCTATCCTTAACATGCTTAGACTGTGCATATCTAATAATGATTGATAAAGTGGATTATTTGCAAGCGGTGTCATTTACATTGGTACCACTGATTGAATGCAATACACGTGATACAACAGTACTGCTTGCTTGCGTTCACGTGACAAAAGTTTATTTTCGACATTCGTGTTTTTTAGCACAACATGAACCTAATCCCTGGGAAGATTGGCACCATCTCTCTCTGTCTCTCTGTCTCTTGACCTGATTTTATTTTTCTCTTACAGCCACTACTGCTTCCTCCTGCTCCTCCCCCCTCCTTTCTTTCCATAGGGAAGGAGAGAAAGAAAAGCTTCTTTGGGGTAAAGTGGGCGTTTCTTATTCATATTAATGTCCTTGGGACGGGGCTGGCCAACCCCATAACATTTGCCATTCACCCACATCTGTGCTGGGAACTGTCCATCCATCCCAAGGCTCCCAACACCTCCACCGTTCAAACTTCCACGGCCACTGCGGGTAAGTCTGGGGGAGTCATCGCAAAGTAAAAGAAAATAATCTCACGCATGGATGAGCTGTGCGTGTGTGTGTGTGTTTTATAACCGTGCCGTTGTAGAGGGAGTCTTTGACAGTCCGCCTCCAATGACAAACGCTGTGACTTTGGGGCGCTCAGTTGAGGGCGGTGTTTGCTCTGCTTTTTGAGTACTGTATGTCAAACGACACTCGGAGTTTACGGGCGGGATTTTTTTTTAAAATGAAGTTTAGCGAAGGTGCGAAGTTCACACGGCATTGTCATCATTGCCGTCCTTTGTTATGCGCCGAAGTAGCTTTGTCCAAAAGCAGAAGTGTGTGTGTTGTTAATACTACAAGACGGTTCTCAGCACGTGGGATAAGATGCCTTGGTGACCCCCCCCCCCCTCCCATTGAAGTGGCCAAGCACCAGAGGTGGGACAAAGTCATTGTTATGCAAGTCCAAGTCGAGTCTGAAGTCATCAAATTCATGACTCGAGTCTGACTCGAGTCCAAGTCACATGACTCGAGTCCACACCTCAGAGGTGGGACAAAGTCATTGTTATGCAAGTCCAAGTCGAGTCTGAAGTCATCAAATTCATGACTCGAGTCTGACTCGAGTCCAAGTCACATGACTCGAGTCCACACCTCTGCCAAGCACTGTCGTCAGAATAGTAGGTCTCTGTGTGTGTGTGTGCCATCGCGTAACAGTTTGTGCTCTTCAAGGAATATCTGACCGCATTGTTGAATCGCTTAAGTCGATTATTTGTTCTTCTTCTTCTGTAAAAATAATGCTTTATAGCGTGCTGTGTACACAGACACGTATCTGGTCTTTGACCTTGTTGAAAGAGTGCTGCTGGTTAGGTTTCATTTCTTGACAGCGGGGTTTGTGTTTAGTTTGTCTTCATTCTCCCGCAACTCCGATTAGCACGGTTGGCTACGTGCGGTGCGTAAGAAGTTCAACGTACATTCATGGTGTGAGTGACTTTAACCTTGCTTGCACAGGGGAAGGGGGGGGGACACGTGGTTTTGGCCACTGTGCTACCAGTACAGCAGCCCGGGTTTGATTCCTCGTCACGGATGGCATCAATGAGTGACATCTTAAGCAAGCCTGGGTACACCCCCTCCCTTCACCCTTCACCAACGTGCACTGACCAGCGTGGTGAAGTATGGCAAGAACAACTCCCATGACTCGAAACGGCGTGAGGACGTCACCCAGCGATTGATTACCAAAGGGCTGGATGTGTCCGTGGTAGCCAGTGTTTTTCCTTAATTCCTGTACAGATCACTCATCTAAAAACTAAACTATGTTTTTGGTTATTTTACCAAGTAAGTGTCACTGATGCTATGTGGCTCTTTGTCAGACGCGACGTGGCTATCAGCAATGAAAGCTTGACGAAGGTGACTTTATCGTCGTGTGTAAATGTATAGCAGCCAAATACTCGAATCGCGTGATATCGATTCGAAATGTGGAGGGGAAAACCGGAGAACCCGGATAAAAAAAATCCACGCGTTTGATTGAGATTGAGTCAACGTCAAAGTGATAGTCCTGAAACAGTGGTGGAAATTCCACATTTCTATGACGGGGGGCGAGTGCATCCATAGGGTAACCACTGTTGACTTGGACATGCAATGATATTCAATTTATCGACCCCAGAGTGATGAAGGACTTGTGTTTATGTATTATTGTGGACGCAAAGTAAACAACGCACCGTGTGTGCTTACATTGTGTGTGTGTGGTGTGCATTTATTGATATCAATGCTCAACAGGAGCTCGCAATGTCCTATTAGTGGCATTGTCTTTGTGCTGTTCGCATTTTTGGCGTCCTCTGGTCTAACACTGAGACTAGGCTCTAAAGAAAGCTGTCTCTGGTGTGGAACAATCAGTTCCAAAGACAATGCATCGTATACTACCAGATTCATGATTTTTTGTTTGCATGTTCGCCACAAGTATGTGTGGTTAACGCAGACATGATTCCTTGCAAAAGGTTCCTGTTTGGTGTTTTAACATCTTAACACAACTGTTTTATTGACAGAAAGGGTAAATACCTATTCCTATATTAATGCATAATGTTGGACAGTACATTACATGACCGTGTATGCATCATGTATAATTTCTAAACCGCTGTTTACCACACGTGCAAACGTTTAACTTCATTGCGGTACTGCAGGGTAAAGAGCAGAGCTTCTAAAAAATTAATCAACGACCCTTCATACCTTAAGTGTACATTGCATTACGGTGTTGTCATTCTTGACCGCTGCTGTTGCCCGAGCTTAGAAGCGATGTAACCGATAACTCTGAGTGTGTTTGCGTTATCTATAAATGCTGCGAGTGCCATCCCCCCCCGCACCCCGATTTTTTGCCTTCGCTGCTGTAAATGTTACACCTGGGTAGCAATAAGCACGCCGAGTCGAATCCCTTAGCGGTTACCGGTGCGCCAACACGGGCTGCCGTAGAAGGCATTTGCGAATTGTTATCACTTGCTTAGGGCTGTCGGGAGACGTTGTTTCCAGATGGTTCGTCTGAGCATCGAGAGGCTTTGACGCTCTGGCCTTGTTGATGTTACTCGTAATAAGCAGGCTTTTCTGAATACTGTAGGATTCTCTGAGTTGCGGGGTGTTTTTTGTTTTCTTGGTTTTTTCGGTAAAGTCGCGTAGAAGGGAAATAATAAAATAATAAAAATAAAACAGAATTAAATAAAACAAATCTCACGACGTTCCGGCCACAACACAAGCAGCCGTCCTCAGGTGTGTTGTGGCCGAAACGTCGTGAGAATTTTTGTATTTTATTATGTTTTATTGTTATTATTTTATTATTTCCCTTCTACGTGACTTTACCGATAAAACCAAGAATATGAATCCCTGCAGTCACGAAAGCTTTAGATCGAAACATTTGTTTTTTGTTTTTTTCGCGGCTTAAGTTGCGGAAAAAGCGCTTTTATTTTTGCTCTGACCCACGCCAATAATGTCACCATAATGTAACCACTATTAGCGGTAGCGGGATAACGGCTCAGCGAAGTCGGCGTCAGTGAGTCACTGACCACCTGGACAGGACTGAGTCACTCGCCCGTTCTCTCCGTTCAAGAAAAAATGCGTCCGCTCCAAATCCCAATAGCGGTCTCATTTCACTTGTGCAATTGTGGACGAGCGCTTTCACCCTTGCGTGCGACACATCATCTAGGATAAACGTACACGGCATTTTTCAGACAATCAATGTGGGAACTGATGAAAAGGAGCACGTTTAGAAGACATTTTACGGGCATGTCTTGATACCGGGTGACCCAACAGCTTCGATGATCCCCCATTGCTCACCACGACCGCACAAACCGTGCGAATCGGGGCTCCGATTGGTCTACAGTGGCGGCGGGCTTTGATCCACGAACTCTGCCACTTGCTTTCAGACAAGCAGTGGGTGTGCGTGACACACGCAAGCTGGAGGGCAATTGGGGATGGGCCTGAAAATGTGATTCTGGCTTAGGAGCCCTGTAAACATTCACGTGAACCCATTGCTTCGCCCAGCTCGGTTCGTTTCACCGTGCGAGACGCGTGGAGCCCTCGTGAAGCTGTTTTGCGTTCCACCGAAACTGTCGTTTGCATTCGTTCTGCAACATATCGCGGCTCGCTCGCTGTTGTCGAGTTTCTCGCGGGTTAGGCTGGGGGCAGGCGCCCCACCTGTGCATACCTGCACGCACGAACGGCGCGCTCGACTTCTGGTGAAGGATGCAATGGAGGCACCTCCCGCATGGAATGTGACCGTAGGAGGCACGGTATGGCTGGGATGTGCCAGCACCTTCCCTGGACCTCTTTTCCTAGCTCGCAACAACAAGCGTTCGTTCGCCTTGCCACCAACCAACCAACAGACGTTGCTGCTTCGTCACACAAAAAAAGTCTCGGTCGGCTATGGGTACAATTAATCCTTCCCGTTTGGCCATGAATCAAAATGTAAAACCAGTGCGCGTGTGTGTTAGTACAAGGTTGCCCCTTTGGGCGTAACAAGGAGGAGGAGGTTGATGATGATGGTGGTGATGTTGGGGCAGGCTTGTGCAGGTGAGAGCCACGCCTTCATTCTCGAGTCTTTTTTTTAGTATTTGCATCGCCGTGGCGAGAGTTTTAGAGAGAGAGAGGGGAGTTTGTAAGAGCGCAGCTGTGTGAGGGTTGTCTGTCTGTCTCTCTGTGCGCTCACTCACAGAGAGCCCAGACCGGCCCTGTCCGACCGGACGGCTGATCCGAGGTACGTGTCGATGTGTCTTCTTCGAGTTCGGGGAGAGAGTATTTTGAAAGGCGCGTGGATATTTCCGCCGTGCACGTCGGCAGGTTCCGCTCGAACAGACACCACGCTTGCCAAGGTCGAGGTAAAATGAAACCGGTATTTTTTGTCTTGAGGTTCTGTGCTTGTCAGGACACGAGGCACTTTGCCACGAGCTGCTGTTGTCTTTTACATTTGGTTCGCGCGGCGCTTTGGACGATCGTTCTACACATCACTCTCCATCCTCCAATGGCTACGTAAGTCTGCGTACGATGGACTTCTTTTGCACCGTACCGTAGCCAACCGTTGCTACTCGTTGGCAAGTGATGTGAACAGCACCTGTGCTGCCATGTCCTCCCTTTCACCTTCGCCGATGCATGGTGAAGTATGGTCAAAACAAAGTCGATTATGGCATGGAGGAGGTCTTCATTATTGGTGGATTGAGTGAGGTTTGGATTCTCTTTCATGATGATGATGATTGCTGTGCCGCGTGGAGTTTGTGATTGCGGTTTCAGGCCATATACGCGCACAGGGTGTGTGTGTGTGTGTCACACCGTGGAAAGAGAAATAGCACACGGCATTCATGCTCAACATGAAACGAAACAACTTTTTGTTTTTAAAGTGCGTTTGCGGCATGTCGTGGTGCGGTTGTGTCAAGTGTTGTGTATGAGTTTACGCCATCTAGTGGCACATCCATAGCTGGGTAGAGATACTGGGCTTAGATGCAGTATTATGAAGAGGAATACAATTGGGTACTATCATCTATAGAGTATTTTGATTTAAAGCTTTCGTGACTGCAGGGATTCATATTCTTGGTTCTTTCGGTAAAGTCACGTAGAAGGGAAATAATAAAATTATATAAATATAAAACAATAAAATTCTCACGACGTTTCGACTGCAACACAAGCAATCATCATCACCAGGTGTGAAATCCACAGCAAGAAAATTTTCTTGCTGTGGATTTCACACCTGGTGATGATTGCTTGTGTTGCAGTCGAAACGTCGTGAGAATTTGTATTGTTTTATATTTTTATTATTTTATTATTTCCCTTCTACGTGACTTTACCGAAAGAACCAAGAATATCTATAAATTAGTTGTTTTTGTGTGTTTAGTTTGTTGTCCTTCCCCCGCACTTCCGATGAGCATGGTTGGCTACGTACGGTGCGAAAGAAGTCCAACATACATGCATAGATTGAATCGTTAACTTAGTTACCTAGACAATCGTCCGTCAGAAGTTTTTATTATAACGAGACAACTATCAACATTCATGACATTAATATTTTCACATCAATATTTCCCTTCCCAGAACACTTCCTTGGGTTAAGTAAACTATTTTTCTTATTTTACCAGTGTCTTTGTGACACATCACTGTTTGCGTGGTGTGTCACCACTATTCAGCAATTGCTACACTTTACAAAAACAAAACTAAACTTTTTATTTTAGCAGGTAAAGCCCACTGAGCTCTAAAGCTCTTTTTCAGAAGCCACAAATTATAGCCCAACGAAAGTGGCTCATAATGTGGACAATTATAGCAGCCAAATACTCTAAACGCACGTTGATTCCAAATGTGGAGAAATAATCCACGCGACCACGGGGAGAACACGCGAACTCCAAATATACAGCAGGTGTCAGGGTCGAGATCGAAACCACGGCCCTCCTGCTTATCTGGCGAGGTCGCTAGCATCTCCCAGCCATCGTGACCTCCCTGCTAATCCGAGGGGCATTGTGGTGTCTTAAAAATGCTGCAAGGCAATGGATGCATCGTCGTAGACGATACTGTGTTATGGCATGCAGCGGGCATGTGTGTAAACAGCATCTATGGTTACACCAGCCCACAGGGGATTATTGTATCCGTCCGTCCGTCGTGCAGGGAGGGGCTAGGTGGGGAGGGAGGGGCTGGGTGGGGAGGGGAGAGTTGGGAGCGGCTGGGTGGGGAGGGTCGGGCTGGGTGGGGAGGGGAGGCTGAGGAGGGGCTGGGTGGGGAGGGTGGTGAGGGGCTGGGTGGGGAGGGTGGGGAGGGTGGTGAGGGGCTGGGTGGGGAGGGTGGGGAGGGGCTGGGTGGGGAGGGTGGGGAGGGGCTGGGTGGGGAGGGTGTGGAGGGACTGGGTGGGGAGGGTGGGGAGGGTGGGGAGGGGCTGGGTGGGGAGGGTGGGGCTGGGTGGGGGGTGGGAGGGGTGGGGAGGGGTTGGTCACCCCGTGGTGCCCTTATAAAACTCAACGTTTAACCTACTCACGCCGGCTTGTGCCAGTCCTCACAGTCGGGCATATTTGCGGAATACACCACGCCGCCGTTGACCCTGGCCATTGACCGAGCAACCCAACGTTCCTACCAGCTCCCTCCACAGGAATGTGTTATGTACATACACGATGTGAATTTTGCGATGAAGATATTTGATATCTTTTTAAAAATTTAAACCCGTTGAGATAACTCGACGAAACTAATTTTCCATTACGAGCCGACCCCTCTCAACTGCGAAGACTTGCAGCAAACATGCACTGAAAGCAGGAGACGCAGCGGTTAAATGAGATGGTTTTCTGCAGGTGTTGTTGTTTGGCATCGTTGTACAGTCACTGCGTATGAAACCCGTGAGAGAAGATGGCTTTTTGGGGAGTGACTTCATCCAGCAGTGGATAGATCATGTTATACGAACGTGTTGATGAGCGTGCTTTGACACTCGAGAGCTTTGACGGCCAGCTCTGTGTGGGCCTCTGTGTGTGGTGGCAAATTTTTTTAAAATCTCAATTCGCATTTTGTACAGGGTCGGCTGTCAAGAATCTATGGGTTTAGATGGGGCATGAGAGATTAGCTCTAACAGTCGCCTTCCCTGAGAAGCACATTTCAAACGCAAATGCAGATAAACCTCCACCCCTCACCACCACCACCCCTCTCCCTCCCTCTCGAGAAGAGCAAAGCCCCCAGGGAAGGAGCGACTCGCAACATGTGCGCACTTGCCACAGAGCGCGCAAGCTTTTCATTATGTGTTGTGTAAGTAATGTACGCAGTGTGTCCAGTGCGGGGCCTGTAGCATATGTTATAAAGGGGCCCTAAAACAAATATAAAAACACGAAATTTGAACTTGCACAGTAAAGTAATTGTATTTTATTTTTTATTTTCATTTTTTATGTTAATTTTATTTCATTTTATTATTTCCCCTCTACGTGACTTTACCGAAAGAACCAAGAAGATAAAGTAATTGTATTTTATCATTTTCTATACAGCCAGATAATACGACAAATCGCTAACCTTAAACACCCAGTCGTTTATAAAAGTTGAAGGCGGTATAGTACTATAGTAATAGAGCAAGTGTAGAATCACTAAACCGGAATTGATAGCTTGAAAGCATTTAGCGCGGGGCCCTTGAAAGTGCGGGGCCCGTAGCTACTACTACTACTACACATGTGTAGCTACTTTTGCTACTGGGGTCATCCGGCACTGGGTGTGTCTGCGGATGGTTTCACGTTCGTACGACGAATGGGGGGGAGTCGAGCCACCTGTCATCACGCACAAGGTCGTGCGGTTTTGCACTTGGGCGGTTTGTTTCAGTGTTGTAATTGTCAGGACTCCTGCTGATGGCGGGGTGGGGGGGGTTGGGGTTTTTTTTCTGGTGTCAAAAAATGTAAACGATTTTTGGAGGTGAAAAATTACGAATGTCGCTTATAATCGTGGCAATAGGAAATGATCGAGGGGGCTGGGTGGGTTGGGTAGTCCAGAGGACAGAGCGCGCAAGCACCGCATGAGAGCCTGGTGGCTGGGTTTGAATCCAGGCAGCCGCTTGTGATCAATATTATTTCTCAACAATTTATTTTCACCGGGTAGAAACCCACTGAGCTATGTAGCTCCTTTTGAGAAGCGACCTGGGGGCCGTCCATAAATGACGTCACGCACCTAGTGTGGGGGGGGGGGGGTTCAGATATTTGTGACGATGTGTGACGAGGGGGGGAGGGGGGGTGTTTGAGAAATGTGACGTCACATCAAAACGCGCAACTTTAAATAAATGTTAATTAAATAGAATTGTTATAACAACACTAATTTTTTTATTAATTTTCATTAATAACTATTTGATTATTTAAATTTACTTTATTTATGCCATGAAGGAGCATTTTGCTTCTCCATGGGAGAATGGAGAAGCATAAATTTTGAAATCTTTTTTGAATGATTGTTATTAAACATTTTCATTCTAATGGTTCTACCAGGGCTTTTCATTCTGTGGCATGAATATGCGATTGTTATAATTGTAGTATCCATTTTGCTTCGTTCTACTACAAAGTTTCAAGTATTTTTTTATAGTCTTAATTACTTTTAATATTTTCTAATTATAAGAGATTTTCAATATAATATTCTGCAGTTTTAGTTAGCCGTTGAATATTGCAGTGCGACATTAAATACACACTACAATGACAATAGTTTAAAGCGATTTGAAGCATGTTTTATTTTCAAAATGGAAATATGGTTTTGGGGGGGGGGGGGGGCAGAGCTTTGTGACGTCATATATGAGGGGGGTGTGACGTTTTGTGACGCCGTGTGACGAGGGGGGGGAGGTCAAAAATCGGCCATAATCGCGTGACGTCATTTATGGACAGCCCCTGGCCACAAACGATAGCTCAACGAGGTGGATTATCATCACGTGGTACATTTACAGCAGCCAAATAATCGAAACGCGTGATGTTAATTCTAAATGCGGAGGTAAAAACCGGAGGACCCGGAGAAAAATCCACGCGACCACGGGGAGACGGACATGCAAACTCCAAATACACAGGCGCCAGGGTTGGGATTAAAGCGGGTTATCAGACTCTGGCGAATGACTGGTCTCAGCTGGGTCACCGTTAACTACACAACCGCTCACCCCCCCACACCCGCCCATCTGACATGTTAGTATTGCGTAGAAATAACTGTATCTGTTTGATTGCCACGTGACAATCTCCTAGCAGAGTGTGCATGGGAAAGTTTGCCCCGGATTAAAAGACAGCTCGAAAGATTCGTTTG